GACTGCTTCCCCTTTCTCCTATGGAGCAGCTGGTGGGTTTCGGTTAGTGCCCACATGCCTTAACCTCTGAATCACCAGAGCCCCACAGTATAAAGATTAACAAAATAATAATAATAAAAAAAAACCTCACTGCCGTCAAGTCAGATCTGACTCATAGTGACCCCTCCTTGGGTTTCCGAGGCTGTATCACTACGGAAATAGATTGTCCAACCTTCCTTCCGAGGAGTGGCTGGTGGGTTTGAACCGCCAGCCTTACGGTTAGAAGTCAAATGCCTTAGGCACTATGCCACAGCCTAGGAAACCCTATGGGGTAATTCTGTTCTGTCTTATAGGGTTGCTGTGAGTGGGAAGGAACTCAATCAGCACCCAACAGCAACAGCTAGTGAAGGCAAGCCCTTGAGTCAGTGAGGGAGAGGAGGCATGGATGTGTAGAAAAAGCTGAAAGGCTTCAGAAGGCTCAACCAGGATTAGCCTTTGTACTGTCAACCGGGTGGCGCAGAAGGGGCTGGCCTTCAACCGCACAAGCCCTGTGAAGATGTTTGTTCAGTTTGTTTTGTTTTTAAACATTTGGGATCCACAACTTACTTCCCAACAAACTAACTGTTGTTGTGTTGAATGAGAGCCTCTGTGAACATGTACAGATCCTTCTACAGGAGCGCTCAGAGCCATCCGTCAGAAAACGCAGGCCCCGGGCACAGGCCTTTCACCACTGCCAGCCCGGCCCTGTGCAGCCTTATTTCTGCCCAGTGCTAAGAGGCAACCAGAGGTGGGTCCGAGTGGATCTTAGCAGTGCACACAAGGATCATCCAGGGGCCCTGGTACAAATAATGGCTTCTGGGCAAGCCCAGGAATGTGCATTTCTAACGAGGAGTCCAGGGTGTTCGGAGGCACAGAGAGTGGGGACCCAGCCCTGGACTCAACCCAGAAGGCCTTTCATTTAAGCGTGGGCAATTTATTTAGTCTCTCTGAACTTCACTTTCCTCATCCGTAAAAGAAGTAGAACACAATGCCTCCTTGCACATAGTTTTTTCTGGCCCAAAGCTACCCCCAAGCACTGAAAACATTCATAGAAACAGCGACAATTTACCCAGAAACTCATGGGCTCGCCACTATGCAGTGAAATGAAGGAAACACTCCTGTAGATAAGTCGCAGAGGTTAAAAAGCAGTCAGGTTTTTACAGCAGTGGGATGGGTGCTAGAAGAGGGGCCGACAGGGCTCACCACTGTAACCAGCTAAACTAATAAAATAAGCCAACTTCTCCCACACCCCCCCACAACTCGTTACATGGGTAGCATTTTGTTCTTTGGGATTACTCATTATTCTTACCGACACAGGCAGGCATGATACAAAGATGTCCCTGAGCTCAGTCAACCTAAAAGGTAGCATGAATGTTTCCAGTCAGAGATTTTACTGCCCTGGGTTAGAAAAACTGCCTTGTCAACCTTCCATTCTGACTGGGAGGAGCCGAAAGGAGTGGTGTGAGTCTGTGGAAGCCTCCTGTCAGTGAAATGACACCATTGTCCACCTCAGTGAAACCCTGCCCCCCAACCTGGGGCAACAGCACAAGCAGGCCTGAGGGGAGAAGGCAAGGTCTGAATAAAGTTTCAAAAGCCTATAGCCAGGGTTTCATCAGACCTCACCTTCATAAATCTGCTGGTGAATACAATTTGTAAAGCCTAATGAGTTCTAAGTGTGCCAGGTAAGAGGACTGAGGGAGCCCCTGGGTGCTGAAAAGTTCATGCGACTGGTTGCTGCCAGGAAGTTGGAGGTCTGAGTCCACCCAGTGGTGTCTCAGAAGGACGGTCTGGTATCTACCTTAACTCTTCAGTTACGTGTCCATGAAATGAACCAAAACTAACATGCCTGGGTTCCTGCATGTCTAATCCAAGTGACTTTTGGCCATACCTACCTCACCCATTTCCTCTAAGTTTTGGGGAAATCTCTTCCGTGGCTGAGACTTTTGTTATATGATGCACACATAACTCACTCAAAGGTACAAGATGCCTGGCCACGACTAAGTTCCCACAGACACAAGCCTGTCAAGTCTGCCATGACCGCCACCTGGCCAATAGTATTGTAAGATGCAATCAACTGAATGATGACTCCTAGCTTTGGAGATGGTACAAAATTGCTTCAGAGTCACCGGAGTATAGCAACATCCTTAACAACCTCAGAAAGCCGGTGATATATGGTTTCCACTCTACACATGAGGAAACAAGTCAAACCATCTGCCCAAGTTCTCACAGTTAGTAAGTGGTGAGGTGGGCACCTGCTTCTCAACCCAATTCTATGAAGCAGTAGTTCACTGATACAATGCTTTTTCCTTCTAATTTAGAAAGGAGGAGTCGGCAAACTAAGCCCCCAGCCTGTATTTATATGATCCACAATCTAAGAATGGCGTTTACATTTGTAAATGGCTTGGGAAAAAAGAAATCAAAATAAGAATATTTTGTGGCATGTGAAAATCGTATGAAATTCAGATTGTAATGCCCACAAATAAAACTTCAAATTTCATCAGTAAAAAAAAATGTGGAAATTTTTTTTTTTTTTCTCAATATAAGTTATCTACATAGTATCTTTCATTTTGCCTCTTGGCCCACAAAACTCCAAATATTTTCTATCTGACCCTTTATAGGTAAAGTCTGCTAACCACTGGCTTAGAGTATTGTAAAATTAAATAATAAAGACAAAAACAGGCAGGGAGGGGAGGAAACATGGCAAAAAGTTTTTAAAAATAAAAAATAGTAACAGCATCTGTTGATGGCTCAGCATGTGACAGTCCCCAGGCTGTGTGTTCTGTGCATGTTCTTTCGTTTAATCCTCACCATAACCCTCTGAGGTAAAGCCCAGTTGTCAAGTCCACTCTGACTCATGGTGACCCCTTGTGTGTGAAAGCAGAACCGTGACCCACAAGGTTTTCAATGGCTGATTTTTCAGAAGTTGATCACCAGGCCTTTCTTCCGAGGTGGGCTAGAACCGCCGTTTGGTGAGCAACGTCGTGTTAATCATCTGCATCACCCAGAGTCACTCTGTGAGGGAGGTATTGTTTCCCCAGCTTGTAAGGGAATTAAGACTGGCAGCCCAGTGCAGCAGGACCCCACCAGGCTCTCAGACTCCAGAAGTCTCCGCCCATCTCTGAGAGCTTTCAACTGAAAGAGCATGCATGAGTGACGCTCGGGGGGAGCCCAAAGTGTGATTCAGTCATTCAACAACCATTTCTTAAGTTCCCACCATATGCCAGGCACTTCCCAGGGCCGAGGATGCAGCAATGAGTAAGAGTGACAAGACCCTGCCCTCATGGAGCTCCCATTCCAGGTGACAGGACACAGAGTAAACAGGAAGACCAGTAAAGGAACGAGAGTGTCTATGGAGCAAATTCAGCAGGAGATGGGGTAGCGCTGAGCGGAACACTGGTTCAAACCCAATGATCTTGTTGTTGTTAAGTGCCGTCAAGTCGGCCCCAACTCATAGCTACCCCTGCTTGGGTTTCCAAGGCAATATCACTACTGAAGTAGATTGCCCAACCTTCCTTCCAAGGAGTGGCTGGTGGGTTTGAACCGCCAGCCTTCTGGGTAGCAGTCAAGTGCCTTAGGCACTATGCTACCACAGCTCCTTAATGATCTGGTAGGAAACTGCAAAGGGGAGACACTGCTTAATGGATTTCCCCTGAGGTGATGGAAAAGTTCTGGAACTGGCCAGTGGTGCTTCACTCTTTTCATGTGTTGGGCTCTTGTTCTTAAGAAGGCCACAGCTGTGCGCCCCTTGTCACAATATACCCGGGTTTCTGTGGGGTGTGTTGTAAACAGAGGAGTCATTCTGCAGGCCCCCTGCTCTGAGCACACCCAGGAATGTACTCTTGGTGCTATGGGACTGTACGCTTTACAGCAGTCAAGTTTATGGGTATTCTGCCACAATTAAAAAAAAAATCAAATGACCAAGAAATGGAAAGTAAATGTAAATGCAACATTTAGAAGAATAAAAGGTACACAAAACACAAGGTTCCTTAGGACCATCAGCTGCAACACGAAGAGCCCTGCACATCAATGTAACGAGAGACAAAAGAAAAAAAAAAAAGGCAATTATTTTAGGAAGCTTGATAGAAGGAACAAGGGGATGCTGGCACCAGGAGGAATCCTAGTTCCCGAGCAGGCAGGCCTGGGCCTGGCCCCAGCGCTTAGCTCCTCCGCAGCCCAAGGCAGGCTCTTCCCCAGTGAACGCACTTTTCCATGACAAAGGCTCTTCGTCCCTGCTCACCAGGGGTGCCTCGAGGCTCCCACCAGTCACATCTGCGTCCCCAGGAACTTTAGAGATAAAGCAGCGCCCGCCCGCGCGCTGATGCTGGACGCGAGTCATCCCCAATTCTCAGCCTTCATCCCTGTGGCCGGCTCCACCTTAACCTTCCCAGAAAAATATGTAAAACTACCCTTCCATTCAAAACGGACGCGGCGGCGTGCAGGAGGGTAAACTGCACTCCCAGGAAAGCCACCGTCCGGCTGCGGAGCCCGCCTCGGCCAGGAGCTCTGTGGCTGAGGCCGCCTCCTGGAGCCCAGCCGGCCTGCGCTGCCAGGCCACGAAGCCGACCCTCGCCAGACCAGGGGCGGCGCGCCGAGCCACGCGCGGGACCCTCCTTCCTCCCTCCCAGACCGCCGCACCGCCTCTTTCCGGCTGGGGACGTGCCCCGCGCGGTTGCATCAGAGCGAGCTGTCGGCGCGCACGTGGAGCCCGGCACGGAGCTGGCTGGAGGCGCCCGCCCGGGCTGCCTGCTCCTCCGGGTCCCGCCCCGGGCACCCATCCCTCCTCCCGCCCGCGCCCGGCCCGGCCTTCTGGCGCCTCCACCAAGTCGGTCCCAAACACTCGCGCCGCTCCCCCCGCGAGCCCATCCCCTGCGCCTTCGGAGACCCGCGCGCGCCGGCTGCGCCCCCCTGGGTCCCTGACCGCCCCCCCTGGGTCCCCGGCCACCGCCGCTGAGACCTGGGCTGCAGCGCGGCGGGGCACTTACCTGACGAGGGCGTCTCGGGCCGGGGGCGTCCGGCTGCCCTGGCCATGGCTGCTACAGGCCTGGGCTTCCTGCAGCCGCCGCTGCCCTAGCAGGCCCTCCGGACCAACGCCGCCGCCGCCGCCGCCCAGGGCCCGGCAGGGCGCACCGCGGGGGCGCGGCGGGCCCGCGGGAGGCTGCGGGCGGCGGAGCTGGCGCAGGACGAGCGGCAACCGCGTTCTCATGGTGCGGTGAGGATGGGGTGGCTGGAAACGAGCCGGCGCAGATCCTCCTGCGAGGCGGAGATGCTACCGCGGAGCACCGAGGCGCGGCGGTGCAGAGTCTCTCCCGCGTGTGGCGGGCGGGGACCAGACTGCGAGAGCCGGGTCCTACTGGTAACGGGCCGGCGGCAGGAAGGACCTGCTCTTCCTCAAACGCCGCGGGAGCCCCTAGAGGCCACTGCACCTAGTTGCCATGACGTTCGAAGGGCGCTCTTTCGCGCTCCCTGGACCTCACGGGTAGACTTTGGCACTTTTCCGAGCTACTCGAAATTTGGTTAAGGATCCAGCTCAGAGGAAGTTGATATACCAGGGTGGCCAAGGTTCTCCCTGAAAGCGTGCATCCTTCCTTTGTCCTAGGATACCGCAGCACCCTGGGTCCTCAAGTGGCAGTTTGCATCTTAGAAAAGCACGTGGTGTTGTGTTATGCTTAGATAGGAGGCTTAAGTTGATTTACGCAGGAGCTAGCCTAACAACTAAGCGTATATGGGCCTTGGGGTTCAAATGCTTTGTAACTTAGGGCGCGTTACTTAACCTTTGTGAACCTTAGAGCCTTGTCTGTAAAAAGGAGCTAGCAATGCTTTCCTTATAATCTCAAAACGTTGCTGTTAGTTGCCATCAAGTGGATTCCATCTCATGGCGACCCCAGGTTTGCAGAGTATAACTGCTCTGTAGGGTTTTAAAGACTGTGACTCATCGGGAGCAACTTGCCAGGCCTGTCCTCTGACGCACTTCTGTGTGGGTTCCAAGGCCAACCTTTCGGCTAGTAGCTGAGCAGTTACCCATAACCAGGAAGGTGGGAACATACTAGTCACAGAAGTACTGGTTTTCTGTCAGATAAGCACTGTACTAGGTGCTGGAAAGACCCCTCATTTAATCCTAAAAAAATTTTTAAAAATGTAATGAGTATTACAGTCCTGACTTTAAACCTCAGGAAACCCAAGTCCACAGGTCACTTGTTTTTTAGCAAAGCTAGGATTCTTCCTGGCTCCAAAGATCATGTTCTGAATCTCACACTGTTGTTTATATTTTTTATTGTAGGATGATTGCCACATCTGACACTGTGATGACTTGGTAGGGTACCAAAAAAAAAAAAAAAACTTCACTAACGTCAAGTTATTTCCAACTCATAGAAACCCCTCCTTGGGTTTTTGAGGTGGTATCTCTACAGAAGTAGATTGCCCAGTCTTCCTTCCAAGGAGTGGTTGGTGGGCTTGAACCACCAGCCTTCTCATTAGCAGTCAAATGCCTTAGGCACTATACTACCAGAGCGTGTAGAGTACAGGAATAGTTAACATTTCCACAACTCTGTGAAGCAGGTAGTAACGCTGGTGGTGCAGTGGTTAAGCACTTGGCTAATCAAAAGATTAGTAGTTTGTACCCACCAGCCACTCCACAGAAGAAAGATAAAGTAGTCTGCTTCTGTAAAGACGTACAGCCTTAGAAACCCTATTGGGCAATTTCACCCTATTCTATGGAGTTGCTATGAGATGGAATTGACTCAATGGCAAAGAGTTTGGTTTTTAAGTTGGTGAAGTAGGTATGACTGCCATTTTACAAATGAGGAAATAAATTCAAAGAAGTCATGTTTTGTTCAGAGACAGCACTTGAATCACTGTCCACCTATGGCCGTTCTGGAGTAACCTGTGGGAGGCTTATTTTATCGTCCTTCAACTGAGAACCACTCTTTTTACAGACATTCATTGAACACTACTGAACACCAACCACACTGGCCACAAAGAGTCCTTGTCCTCAGGAAGATCTGGGGAGGGACTTGGCCCCAGTGGTGACAATTGCCACTCCACAAGTGGTATGACAGTTGTATTTAAGAAGGTCAGTGAGGACCACATATTGTATGATTCCATGTTATGAAACAGCCAGAAAGGCAAATATGTAGGGACAGGAAGTAGATTCGTGGTTGCTTTTGGCTAAGGGGAGGGAGGATGGGGGAGTTGGAGGTGGTAGCTAACAGGTACAGGATTTCTTCTTAGAGTGATGAAAATGTTCTATGATTATGGTTGTATTTGTAAACTACGAATTTTCTAAAATCCATTGAATTGTACACTTGAAGTGGGTGAATTGAATGGTATGTGAACCCTTCTCAATATATCTCAGTATAGTTTGTATACCTCAATCCAGTTGTTACCAAACAATCAAAAACAGTGATGATGAGTGGCCATCTAAGATGCAACTATTGGTCTCTCCCCACACAGAGCAAAAAAGAGTGAAGATAATCAAAGTTGTATAGAAACAGTTAGTGGAAAGGACTCATGGACCACCAGAACCACAGCCTCAAGGACCCAGAGACAGAAAAACTACACGGTGTCTAGCTACCACCACTGATCACTCTGAAAGGTATCACAGTAGGAGGGTGCAGTGCAATGAATTACTTGGTATGGCTTTTCTAGCCAAAGTGTTTGTAACTCCCACTGGATTACTGGGTGGGACCATGCAAATAAGGTATGTAGAACTCTGATGCTGGAATTGGTTAGTTTTGTCACTCTGCCAGGCTTAAAATGAGCCTTCCTAGGGAGCTTTGGTAGGAGCTCTGGTAGCATAGTGCCTAAGGCACTTGACTGCTAACCAGAAGACTGGCGGTTCAAACCCACCAGCCACTCCTCAGAAGGAAGGTTGGGTGATCTTACTTCTGTAGTGATACTGCCTCAGAAACCCAAGGAGGGGTCACTATGAGTCGGGGCCAACTTGACGGCACATAACAACAACGACAACAGAAACAGAGGGGATCTCACTGCCATCAAGAGAGAAGAGCTGGGGGTGAAGTAGAGTGTGTCCTTGAACCCAAAATCCCTGCACTAGACCTCCTTCGCAGAGATGCCCTGGCAGAGAGATGGTCGCAGTGGAACCAAAAGGCATGAGACAGAGTGGCTAACTTTCCGCTTATGGAGCAAGAAAGCTGAGTGCCCTTGGGCACGAGGCTTGCTGGAGGAGTGGGGTGCACCTAGGTGTACCTATCGGCAGAGCTGAAAGAGCTTTGTAACGCTTGCCCAAGTAGGGCAGAGGCTAGGCTGAGAGGCCCAGGGCCAGAGAGGCCTGATTGAAGAATTATATCCTGAGTGCGTTCCTGAACCTGAATTGTAGCTTATTACTTCTCTAATAAACCCCATAATTGTGAGTATTGTCTGTGAGTTCTGTGTGGCCACTGAAACAAATTATTGAACCCAGCAGAGAGGTAGTGAGTGCCATGGGAGAGACGGTTGGTTTCAGAATTGGTGAAAGGCTGGAGGAGGGTGGCATGTCTGGCCTCATAGGAATAAGGCTTGGGCTGCTGATGGTAATTCTCTCTTCCTCTTGTGAAGTTAGAGGTCAGAAGATGCCGCCTCCATGCCCTTTTTGCAGAGGGCCTGCATAGAGTGGGAGAAAAATGTGGAACAAAATTAAATAATAATAAGAAGAAGACTGGTGGAACTCCTGAGACTATGGTCTGTAAACGCCCTTAAAGTCTTTAACTGAACTCTCCCCTGTGGCTCAACTTTAAGCCAAACAATTGTTGTCAGGTGCCTTCAAGTCAGTTCTGACTGACAGCAGCCCTTTGTGTACAGAACGAAACACTGCCCGACGCTGTACCATCCTCACCAACGTTGCTGTGCTTGAGTCCAATGTTGCAACCACTGTGTCCGTCCATCTCACTGAGGCTCTTCCAATTTTTCACTGACCCTCCGCTTTACCCAGCATGAGATCCTTCTCCAGAGACTGGGTCCTCCTTACAACCAAAGTTGTTGTTGTTGTTATTTGCCATAAAGTCGGCCCCAACTCATAGCAACTCCTCCTTGGGTTTCCGAGGCGGTACCACTACGGAAGTAGATTGCCCAACCTTCCTTCCTAGGAGTGGCTGGTGGGTTTGAACCGCCAGCCTTCTGGTTAGCAGTCAAGTGCCTTAGGCACTACGCCACCAGAGCTCCAAGAGGTGAAATCTCGCCATCCTCACTTTTTTAGGTGCATTCCAGCAGTACTTCGTGCAAGAAAGATTTGTTTGTTCTTCTGGTAGTCCATAGTATATTCAAAATTCTTCACCAACAGCATAATTCAAAGCATCAGTTCTTCTTTGGTCTTCCTTATTCATTGTCCAGCTCTCACATACCTAAGAGGCAACTGAAAGTACCATGGCTTGGCTCAGGTGCACCTTAGCCTTCAAAGTGACATCTTGGTTCTTTCACATTCTAAAGAGGTCTTTTGCAGCATATTTGCCCAAAGCAATACAGTGTTTTATTTCTTGACTGCTGTTTCCATGGGCATTGATTGTGGATCCAAGTATAATGAAATCCTTGAGGATTTTGATATTTTCTCTGTTCATCATGATGTTGCTTTTTGGTCCAGTTGTGAAGATTTTTGTTTTCCTTACATTGAGGCAGTAAGTGCTTCAAGTCCTTTTTGCTTTCAGCAAGCAAGGTTGTGTTGTCTATGTATTGCAGGTTATTGATGACAAGCCTGTAAGGTGAAAAATAACACTAGGGAAGTAACATACCCCTGAGAACAATCAACCACATGAGATCAAAAGAGCATCTTTTGCACAGAGATAAAGCTCAGAAGGCAAGAAAGGATAGGAAAGAAGGATGAATATAAACGGTAAACACAAGGAGGAAGTGGGAAGAGTGCTGTTACACTGTGGGGATTGCCATCGATGTCACAAAACAAAATGTGTATGAATTGTTGAATGGAAAACCAATTTGTTCTGTAAACCTTCATTCAAATCACAATAAAAATTTTAAAAATTAAAAAAAAAAATAAGATAATGAGTTGTAGTAGTTAAGGTTATTTGTCAACTTGGCTGGGCCTGGTTGAGTGGCTGGGCAGCTGGTGGTAGTTATTCCCCATGATGAGACTGGCAATCATCTCCATGGTGGGATAGACCACAAGCAGCTGAGTAGCTGCTTTAGCGATATGGTCTATTTCCTGTATGTAAGCAGCAGCTTTGGGAATGGTCTCTAGCTTTTTGGCACACTGCACGT